GGCACCGTACATTAGTATACATCAGGGTATATACCTTAATTAGTGTACAATGCCTTGGCAGAAGATTCTACGATTTGAAGTAAGAAAAATATTTCGAATCAACTTGTCGAAAAATGACTTCTAAGGGAGCTAAAGCCCTCACTATACACTATACAGCCTGAAGAGGTTATCCTGAAGATGGTTTATCATTATCATGTATGCATCTCACTTTTCGAGCTGAATTTAACAATGTAAACGGAATTTGTATTTTCCATTCAGGAGTGTGTAGAACACAGTTGATGAGTTCGTGTTTATTATAGCACTCAATTTTTTGTTTGCTATCATTTTTGCAAATTCACAAATTTAGAATAGGTATTCCATTCCATAAAGAAGGTAGGCATACTCGTGTTGGAACAATGTTTAGTTCTAGACTAAAATCAAAAATTTTAATATAATATAACATGATAGAAATTATGCATAGAGGTATAGGTAATATCGACGGTAATATGGAAAAATTGTATTGACAAGAAAATACACTTTATTTGATATTTTGATGATTCTCTCTTTTATTTGATAATAATAACTTGAATCAGAAGAGAATCAAAAATGTTGTGAAGCCGTTCCGGAAGAAATGATAAAGAACCAGCATCTTCATCATCAGGGTAGCCTCTTTGAGAACCCAATGATTTCAAATTCACTGTGTTTTATTCACCTGGGAATTTGAATTTCCTATAAAGGCAGAAAAAATGCTTGACTGTAATTAGATTGGACAATTTCATGAATAGGTATACGTAAATCACATTATTGCTCATGGTTTTTTCAATTTCTCAACTCGAAGACTCCATCAAATCGCGGCATTCTCTGACTACGCGAGTTTGAGAAAAAACGACATGAAAACAATCAAGATTTGTTCATGTACAATTCTGGTTGTCATGCTTTCGAATGTTGAGTTTACGTTTCGTCGATGGAAAAGTTAGGGCAAAGTTTGTTTGTTCGCTTTCCTATAATGACAAAATCACAGCGAGTTATGGGATTTTATATACATACATTGAATTGTCAAAATGAAAAACGGATATGCACGCTGTACCTTTGGCATTTTTAGTTTTTAGAAAGAAATAGATTAGATGCTATAGTTAGGCGTTGATAAACAAGATTCATTTATGAATCCTAATTGTTAATTTTGATTAGAACACTGAATTTTCGATCTTCTGAGGGGGGGGGGGGTAATTACCCCTATTACCCCCCTTGTATACGCGCCTGGTTGTCATTAAACTATAATTCGCATGGTCACAATTCGGTGAGCATACCATATCGTGTACTATGTAACAACGTCGTAAATGCAACCAATGGTATGGTAGTATGGTACTGGTTACTGGTAATGTGCTCGGGTACCTACCTAAGATAGGAACTCACGTGTTCGTGCGAATAGACGCGTGGTCGCGGCATTGTGAAGGTGACCCGGTGCAGGTCGCTATAATCACGACTAGCGCCATCAGTGGAACCAGTCTATGCAAGATTCTAACGCCCGATAGCATCAAGTAGCTGTTGGGTACGCCAAACAAATGAATTGGGTATTTCATTGGATGATTGCGGTAATAAACACAGCTTTTAAACCTGCTCGGAACTCGTGGCTTATTAAGTAAACGTCTCAATGAAATAGTTTCATTATGCATTTATTTATTCATTTATTTATTTACACTCACCAGCTGCTTGAAACTTACGTTTCTCAAACTTGAGCAGTTCAACTAAGAATGAGTGGTACCATTTTATTAGAATTGAATTAGAATTAGACCAAAGTTGGAAAGTTACCATAAGTACCTATATGTAGGTAGGTATTCACTCTGGTTTACATTAGAGGCGGCGTTAATAAATAAGTATAATTATATACGTTCGCACAAAAAAGCGATGGTGCTCTCGTGAAAACTATAATTGGTGCAGTGAATATCAATGCCCAATGATAATGCCCACTGTACTTCATGATGATTATACGAATCTGGCAATCCGCAAAAAATGTCGGCCGCCAATGGATGTCTATGTCTATACCTATAAGTAGACGTCATTGAATAGTATATAGATGTTTCAAACCATTATATATCTTCGATTATCTTCGTATATAGCTATGATGACTGAATACCTATACCTAATTAACAAATCTGATTGTCTAACTTGAGTACCTATAAGTAGTAGGTATACATTAACATCATGCCAGGTGCGATAACGATACTTCGTTAATGTTGTCATCTTGATGTTGTTCTCATTTGGTAATTTCTAGTTTATTCCAATGAACTTGAATGAAATAGGTATAGATGGTTGATCAATATGTAACAACTATAAGTATTAAAGAAATGGCACAAAAAATAAGTATAGTAAAGATTCATGAATAGGACATCTTCGCGCGAGTTACGTTTGGTATTATGGGAACTTGTTGATACAAAACGATCGTAACAAAATCGTGAGGCAGGATCATATTATCTTATAAAGGAGACACTTGTTGAACAATCTGAACTCACTTTGTATAAATGAACTTCCTTCATAGAAAGTATATTTTTTGGAAGGATACTACCTTTTTTGAACAATCTATAACCTTACTCGGCCTAAATGCTCCTTCTTCGAAGAAAGTATTTTTTCAGTAATCTTTGGATATACCTATACCCAAACACTTCAGAACAAAATGAAAAAAAAGCCGATCCTCGCATGGATGGTACCCGATCTTGTCGGCGCGCAATCGACCCATCCTTATTTTTGGGTTCATTTTCTAACATAATATTCTAACCGGTAAGTAGGTAAAGGTTAATTGACCGCGGCGCGCTATTGACCTACAGCCCATTATCCATCAGGTGAATCTCGATTCTCCTTTCATACTTGAACAGTAAACTCTTTCCATATTCCTATACTCATACCTAATATACTTACCTGTTGATCGAACGCTCCCTCCCCTGTAGGTACCTATAGGTATATATACTCTGATGCAGATTGCAGAAGACATGTCGCAGATGGATGGTGGTAATGCCATCTTCCTAGAATAATAATTACTTATTCTAATTACCTATTGGACGATGGTAATGCTATGCTAATGCTAGTGCCGGCGCCATCAACAACATGACATGCCTACATCCAGTAGATTTGTCTCAAGATTTTGTACTTGTGTATACGTACCAATATAGGTACTTTGTGCGGATACTGATGCGGATTCTTTCGATAGCCAGTGGCACAACATAAAAATACCGCCGTTCCAGAAGAATAATGATGTGTATGCACATTTTTTTGAAAAAAGATAGAGATAGAGAAAAGTATTAGACTCTGTATATGGTAAAATAATGCCATAATTGTAAGAAGTGGAATATTTGGCCGATATTTGTTCTAAAAATTTGTTCTAAAATTTGTTCTATTCGTCATTCGGTTGCCCCCTTACGAGCAACCCTCAAAAGTCTTCGAAAGTCTTATTGTGCGAGCAAGGAATGACGGGGGCCTTACCTTTTAACGTGTGATCCCAAACACTTGTAGGTATTATATATACCTATACTTATATATATATATAGATAAGTTATGTCGTTATGTAATTTGTATATATTCATTGGCGCCATTCTTCTGGAAGATAACTGCCACTAGTGCCACAACGGTCAGTTGTCGTGAGAAGTGAGAAGTCTTCTGAGAAGTGTTGACACAAGTTTTTTTACAGTACAAAAACTCCCTATAAATGTAGCTTCAGACCTTGAGGGTATCAGAAAACACATAAATGAAATCGCTTGTTTGGAAATCGGCAAATTGATATTTTTGATTCGTTCTTTCCTTCTGTAAAATTACCTACCACTTTTGCATTCGCGTCAGTATGCTTCTGGGGCATCAGCGACATGGTGTCCCGAAATTAGCCTGCCGAACTTCACCAGCGGCTTCTGAGATCAAAAATAGGAAGGAAAGTTTCAATGAACATGAGACGAGGAATGTCCCCTATAAGGGAGCTACGGCCCCCTGAAACGGGGCTCCTGATGAAGATGATATTTCTTGAATATTTCCGAAACGCCAAGTGATAAAACGTTGCAATTTGCTACATGAATTAAACTTTCCATGCCCATGCAATGCATGCTCCAAATTTCACTCAGGAGTGTATAATACAGGGTGGGACTACATTAAATATTGCTAATTTTTTTTTAGGCATATTTTTCGACAATTTAATTTCGGATTATGAAAATACATATCATTTCACAAAAAAAAAGGTGTTCTTGTTCCGCATCGATCAGATGTATCATTATCGAGTAGAAGCGATTCAAAAATATTGTTACATCTCAGATATTATGCATTAAATTGCAATGAGTCGTAGTGAAAATGGAAAAAAAAATGCACAAGAATTGAAGTATAGCTCTTTAACATTATTTTCCTATTTTTCACGCTTTTATGATATTATTTGGTGAAAAGAAAGTAGTTGATTTTTTTATAGTCATTATGGTTTGGAAATTGGCAACGTTATCCATATAAGATGTGAGTGTATCAATATTTTTAAATCGATTTCACTCGAAAATGATACATCTGATCGATGCGGAACAAGAGCACCTTTTTTTGTGAAATGATATGGATTTTCAAAATCCGAGATAGTATTGTCGAAAAATATTCATAAAAAAAAATGTTAGCGATATTTAATGTAGTCCCACCCTGTATTATACACTCCTGCGAGTGAAATTTTGAAATGATTTCATTTTCACCGCATTGGGCATGGAAAGTATACCTAGTTCTTGTACCAAATTGCATCTTTTTATCACATGAGTTTTCGGAAATACTCAAGAAATATCATCTTCAGGAGCCCCCTTTCAGGGGGCCGTAGTTTCTTTGGGAGACATTTCTCGTCTCATGTTCATTGAAACTTTCCTTTTTTTTTTATCGTAGAAGCCACTGGTGAAGTCTGGCAGGCTAATTTTGGGTCACCCTGTATACAGTAGCCTGAGTAGCCAGCGTGCCAGCGTCACGTTCAAGCCACTGTCATCATCGCAGTACCCATTTATGACGTAATAATATTATGTTTGTTGCAGGGCAGGTTCCCAGGCCCCAGGCATCCTAACGTCCCAGCTGAAGGCGACCAATGGCCTGATAGGCGGGGCGGGGCTAGAGCTGTCGAACCCGCCCCTCTCCGGCGCCGGTCAACTCAACTCGCAAGAGCTGCAAGGTTTATTTATTAACCAGCACGTCGGGTACGCACAGCCCGCGGCTACCGGACAAAATTTGCACATCGTGAAAAGGGAACCCGAGGACCTCAGCCACCATCGAAAAGTGGACTGCAGCTCGCCCAGCTCTGGCAGTCTGGACGGAGCCATAATCCTGCCGAAGCAGTCTCGAGCCAAGGTGAATAGTTTTTAAGTGACTGTGCTTTAGTTTTAGTGCCTTATCCTGCATTGGTTGTTAGTGACACGTGCTTATGATAGTGAAGAGTGATTGGAGTTATCGGTCCTTATGAGTTAGCCCTACTATGGAATGATATTATGCTTATTTGGACATTCTTTAGCAGGGTGCTTAGTGATTGGAAGCTCATGTTTGGTGATATTTCGCTGTTGCTCAGGCACCCAGCCAAAGCAATTCAGTTCTGGGTTACCAAATATGTGAACAAAATCTGAAGTCAAACCGTGGTAGTAAGTTTGTGTTTCTCCTCATTCAATCGAAAGTTTGATTTCCTGGATTAAAGTACGGGAGAGACGGGCGAAGTGACATAACGCTTGAAACATCCTCACATCCTGAAGTATGTTTCAAAAAAATGCTTTTCATGCTCAATCGACTTGAACATCAACAGACTCCAATACTCTGAAGCAATAAAATATAATGTAACTCAATGTGAACTGAAATTAAAATTGCGGGTAAATAAGTAAAATCTCATTATGGACAAAGTGAAATAAGTACTAACATAACAATGGAGCTAATGAAAATTGATTCAAAATTTGCACTAATTTATTCAGAACGAATTGAAATAAGTATAGTCTTAGACCTTAGATACAAAATCTCATTCGGAATTTAATGTACTGGGAGAGTTCAGGAACAGCAAATGGTACTTTTCGCATCTGATGCTTCGAATCTTTGATAATGATGTGTAGATCAACCTATAGGCATTGGAGATCTAATCCAGGCCAACGGAAAAATTGTTGAGATCTCTTCGGATCTCTTCATACATATTACTGTCAATCCGTCGTTGGATTTTTCTACAACATCCTGAAATATTCCACATTGCCCTCACAGCATTTATTTCACTCTGCCCGCCGTGTCTCGAAAACAACAAAATGGAAATAAATCTTTACAAGAAAGTTCGAAAAGGATGTTTCCGAGATGTTTCTACACCTGCTATTCTGGATGACGTGTATTCAAAGAAAGACTATAATAGTAGGTAAATAAAAAGCCATGAAGCGATGTCAGAGCCTTCTAAAATTACGAAAATACTCAGAATTATTATGGCATAAGTAAACCTCCAACAGGTGTCAACGAACTACGCATGTGAGATAGCAATTTTATTTCAGTTTCCAGATGTGTTATCCATGTAGAAGTAGTGTGATAGGTTACAACAGATAGCAGGTCCAACGATAAAACTCAAAATCTAAATTGATATTCCACTTGCCCGCTCTCTCCGCTTTGCCCGTCCCTCCCCTATAGGTATAGGTAGTACGGTACTGATGTGTTTTTACACAAGACACCTTGGTATCGACCGATCTTGAAAAGTTAATGAACTCTTTATTGTTATCATTTCGACATAAGAGTGTTCATCTATCAACTCTATCGTGGAAAGTTCTGAAATTGTTTGAAGATCCAATTATCACTAATCTGCAGAAAATGTGGCAAAACAGCGCAGAGGACGGCTTATACCTACTGATATACCAATAGTGGAATCTGCAATAATTGTTTATTAAGTCCATCTCATGATAGGATCGCGAGATGGATTCATTATAGAAATAGCAAGTGTACCAATTCAGAATCTTATTCATCATGCATTCATCCTCTTACGTTTTTCATTATCAAATTTATTTGTATATCCTCTTATAGTAAAAGCAATATTATATTGACCATATGGGACTAAATCCCGCACAAAAAGGAGCATAGTTTAACTTCTCAAGTGATTAACGTGCACGGTCCACTCCATTTCTTGCACTTTTTGGAAGACTATATATACCTAATAATACTGAAATTATGAGGTAACCTGTAAATATTGAAATTATATAATTCGAGGAATTCCAGTCGATATATACCTATATACGATAAAACTCGAAATACCTACCTACCGGTTGCATTATTATATTATGAACCGTCTCAGTTTGCTTTGGAATAACGAATTAATAACTTACAGTGGGGGTCCCAAGCGAGATCCCAAGTCACTTTTTAGTCACAAGGGAAGGACATCGGTATACTTTGCATATAAAGTATGTTCTATCTCTCAATAATTTGAAGTTTATATTTTGTATACATTATGTAATGTTAATTAACAGTATTTCTCTCCATGAAATTTGACAGCAAATATGACTTGCTCTTTCTCACATGATGAATAGTTTTTCTATTCCGTATAGAATAGGTAATCGCGAGGGTATAGTCGAAACTGCGTATTATTGTCAAGTTCTTCTAAAAGCTTCCGAGATATGTGGAGTTCAGAAGAATGATCTACACCAATATAACTATTTAGAGCTTTATTGAAATGAAAATCCTCGGTAGGTACAATACTTGGTTTCAAATAATTTCATTTATGCGAAACAAAATTTTGCTAATTTTTTCATGTTTTATCATGAATTCATATACTGCGCGACAACCGGAACGCATATTAATTTACACAACCTCCCATACGACGGCACAAGCGTGCTGCAAATCTGTCGGACTATGTAGCCAACAGTGACGCTACAAAAGTTCACTGATTTTGGCACCTGCGCGTATTATACTTCCTTTCTGCAAACGAATAATAATTTTCAACTAGGATTATGGCTTAGATGATTATAGTAGTACTGTGGAGGCAAGTACTGTTAAGGCCGATAGTGAATCGCTATTTCAGTGATGTCCTTTTTCAGGAAGAACTTTTCTGTAGACTCGTGTGGTGTGCCAAAATCAGTGAGCTTTTGTAGCGTCACTGTTGGCTACACAGGCTCACAAATTTCAGCACGCTGGTACCCTTGTCTGGTATATAGGGTTTGTAAATATGCAACCAGGACCACCAAAATGTGAGTGCATTGCAAACTAGCATCTCTGTGGTTCCTGTGCAGCGAATATCATCATCCCATACCAATCACCGGACTAATCATAATTCGAGAAACCATAGTGAGCACAATATGACATGATTGTTTGGCGTGATAAGATAAACCGTTTTCTGGTTGGAAACAGTCATGTTTCCAAAATACTGAGGGACGTGATGGCTCGGGAGTGGGTATATACTCACTCAACCTCTTATGGTGGATATAGGTACCTCTGCTGATGATGGATACCTCTGAATCATTCTAGAATTCAATTATCATTCAGAATTAACATTTCAACGTTATGTGCTAATGTTCTGATAATGATGATTATGGTTGTTACCGCTAACTTTTATTTTATCATCATTCATAGCCAGGACCTTCAAAAATAGCCCCCAGTTGCCCAGTTCTAACGTATAACCAGATGATTATTGTTATTTGTCAATAATAATAATTAGTAGGTAATAATTTTCTCTGATGTCATATTCAAGATCAAAGCATCTAGTATCTACCTTGAATACAGTGTATCTATCATCAAACTGAAATTCAGCATTTTTGGATGTGGAAATTATTGTGCCGCAAATTTTAATGACGAATCCAACGTTTATCACAATCATTTGGAAAAAAAATTTGTGTCATATTTGAACTGATAAATATAACAATAAACCTCATTTTCGCTAACACGTATGATTGAGAGTATAAATAAATCAAAAGTATAGGTACCTCTAACCATTGATATAATTACTTAATCTTCAGTACAGTGGCGCCGTTAGTAGACCGCCTATCCAATAAAGGAAAAGAATGAAAAGGATAGGTAACATTTGAGTCGGTATTTGCAGTAAGAATTGATCAGAGTAGGTACATAATGTAAGTCAAATTACCTAAAACAATTTATTATGAAGCTATATGGTAAACATTTCAAGAATATGTCGATGAAATATCGAACAGGTTTATATTTCGGTAGATACCTACGGTACATGAAAAATGAAATATATATTTATATTTTCAACTTCAACGCCGCGTCTCAGAAACCAAGAATATTGGGTCATATAGGTAAAAGGAACATCTCAATGGGAAGAAACTAGAAACTTCTTAACGTTTGTGTTCGTGCTATTGAAATTAGAAACAGCAGCATATGTATTCTCCATCAATATATACCTACCTAGTTTTGGAAATCTGCCTGACACCGTCTGTGTACCTGATGGTATTCAGCAAATCCAAAACCCGTGTTTGACTTCAGGTTGTATATAGAAATAAACAGATGTCCCGATCAACAAAATCCCATTCCCCCTCTAACCGATCTCTCTTCCAGTAGTGCATGTAGTAGGTAAACCAGTAGCCGTTAGAAATAGCTAAAAGTAGGTTAGATCTAGGGCCCACCGCTCAGGCTGAGCCGGCACGAAAGCATGCAGCAGCAGCAGCTAACATCCCTTGGTGGTTATAGGTCGTGCTGGTCTCCGGCGGCCATTCCGGCGACCTGGTGGTCGACGTCAACTCGATCAAAGACGAGACCCACCGAGGCCTCAGCTCCCCTCAGCACGGCTCCCGGTCCATAAACGGGACGCCCACCTCCACGCACAGCAGCCTCCTCGCAGACGGTCCCAACGCCTCCGGCCCCATCGAGTTCATCTCCGCGAATGGCCTCAAGCCGGCGATGTACGCCACGCAGATATTCGCCTCCATGAACGCCCCCCCGCACGGCGGCGGCGGGGGAAATAGCGGCACCCCCTCCCCCGTACCCTACACCGACCACCTGCAGTACAGCACGCAGAGCAGCATCGGCGGCGGCGGCGGGGCCATCTACTCCTCCAACGGTCGCAACAGCGCCGCCTCCTTCTCGGTCTCGGAGCCGTACTATCGCGAGTACTTCACCACCGTGCCTTCGGGAGGTGCCGGCACCCCCGAGCCGGTGTACTCGACGCAGTTGCGCCAGAACCAGTTGGGGTATGGCGAGGAGGCGGCGAACGGGGGTGCCACGGCGAGCTTTGTCGAGAGATACGTCCGCCAATCGGCGTACCACGGGAAGGGCGTTATTGCGGCTGCCACCGCTGCAGGGCTGACAGTCGATCTGCCCAGCCCTGACAGCGGGATCGGCGCCGACGCAATTACGCCCCGCGATCAGAACGCGCTGCAGCAGGTGAGCCCTAGACCGACCTCCACTCCAGTTAGCTAGAAGTCAGGGTGCGAAGGCACGAGTGAAGTGATTCACGTGGTGTCCCTTCACGTGCGGTGTGTCCGTATTCTTTAACATCGACCACGGCATCGTATAAACGGCTCTACATGATTCCTGATGAAACCCAAATGGAGTGAACGCTCTAAAACGAAGGCTGCAGACGTTACTTAGAAATCGATATCGTGCCAGTCCCTGCCAATTTCTGTACAGTTTTCAATCCTAATTACTGGAACATATCACCTTGGAATATTCTGTTGATTGAACTTTCATTAGGGACAAATTGGTATCTTACAAAGAGATATCCTGAACGTGCTTCTTTTCACTGCATCATCCTGCGAAAACGCTTTCAAATCATCGTTCAGCACTTATATAATCTTCAATTTCACTCATGGTTCCAACTGGAAATATTCTGTAGGTTTGGTTGCGCCTATATACTAGAGAAAAATCAGCACATTCCATTCCAGGAAATGTATTGGTTTTCAAAATTCAACCGTTCCTTCGCGTGCTTCGTTAGCTCCTTTTACTGCGACTTCACTGAGGACAATCCGATACATTGTTGGAAACGAATAGATCATCAATTTATTCTTCCTTTTTGCACCGTGTTTCGAAAACACTGCCCAATCGCCTTTCAGCACTTTTAAACTTCAATTTCACTCAAAATTTCGAATCGAAATGTTCTACAGTTCTGCGGGCGTCAATTCGTCATCGGTAATAATGATGTAGAGCAGTTTATTCACCGAGTTATTCACAGAAATCACAGATCATACGTGTCATTCGCATTTCTGTCCGGCTCCACGATCGAAACACTTAATAACGAGAGAAAATTGTTTCAGTCGTTCGACTACACCGAATTGTGCCAATCGAACTCTACTCTATTGGATCCCCTGTCCCTATCCCAGAGGAGCAACAGCAGCTCGCAATCGCCTGGGGCACAATCGAACAGCAGAAGTAGACCTTGGCACGACTTTGGTCGGCAAAATGATGCTGACAAAATACAAATCCCTAAAATGTAAGTACATACCTAATAATGATAGATTTCGACGCGAGTTTCGACGATTTGTGATGTGTTTCTTCAGAGACTGTGATCTATAACAATTCTCATCTTACTTCACGGTTGACAACCGCAAAACTACACGAAGTACTTTTTCAAGTATAGGTTTTCCCATGCGATTGGGTTTCCGCTTTTGTCACGAATTCATTTCGTCCCGATATTAGAACCAATGAAATCAACCTATGATGATGATGCTGGATGACGCTAGAATTTAAGAAAGTGAAAAGACTTACACCTCCAAACCTATTACCGGAAGAATCGATAACTCAATGAGCATGATAGCTCAATTTCAGTCAACATTATGTAGATTTCAAATTGGAACTCGGAAATAGATCGAGGTTACTAAATGTTCAAATCCTGGATCTTGGTGACGATAGATTGATAAGATTTTCGAGTGCTTTTTGGATGTTAATCGAATTCCTATAAAGAAGGATGCCTATAATGACTAACGAAGTGAATTACTCGTTACTACGAAGCTTCGTTTTATTATAATCCGTGAACTGGACAAACTCGATTGGACAAGTGTCACTTGATACACAGAAGTAGGTACCTACCTTATGTCATGTAAGCGCGAAACAGTTGTAAATAGTATATTGAAAGAGCCAGTTAAACAAGTTTAGATGATTCACAATGTCGTGTATTGTGCTCTATGCCGCTTTTCCATGTAGTTATGTCACGTTATAATTTTATAATGAAGAGGTCACAGGATCACCTGCGATCTACCTGACCACCTTTACAGAATGTTGAGGACTTAAACGGGTTCCTTTATTATATCTAGCACAATAACAATAAAATTTTCGGGGAATGTCTATACCTAGGAACACCGAATTTTTTAATACATCGTGAGAAACGGTTTTTGTCTATTATGCTAACTACCGCGCAATTTGTTGCAGATTTTCACCTGTTGGCTTCAAATATCACCTAGAAACCCCTATTTCCACATCGCAGAGGCGGGAGGACGATAGAATCACGTATATCAATAAGGGACAATTCTATGGAATCACTTTGGAATATATCCCTGACCCTGACAAACAGCTCAAATCACAGACTGTCAAGGTGAGTTGTACAATAATAATTCATGCTCTATAGACATCAAGAAAGTTGCCATATCAGTTGATTTTTATTTCCTGTCATCGAATCACAGGAAAACACACTCCTGTTCAAGGACATTTCCTTCTATACTATATAGAAGAGTACATTTTTTCAGAAAAATATAATCATTCTGTTTTACCTAGAAAATATAATCATTCTGTTTTAACTCTGCAGTTCACAAAATTTTATATTTTGTACTAATATGCCATAATTTCTGTTTCGAAACTTCTGACGCGTTTCCAAATCGAGTGAATTAGCAAAAAAAATCATCACTATAGGTTTCCATAATTATTTTAGGTAATGAGTCCATCATGAAGTCATAAATCACATTATTAGTTTATTATATTGTTAATTGAATAAATATAATCATATTCATGTACTCGGTAGGTGGACAATTATTGTACTCATACCACACACATCACCTTTCAACATCTGTCGTTATGTTGCAAAATATGTCTTGAATAGTTCAAATATCATTGATGAGCTTTGTGATAATTATTGCTATACAAGTAGTATGTTATACCTTATACATATCTTGACTATTTTCAAATAATTTAGATTCACTTCCATCCTTATTTCTTACACTCTATCTCTGAGGTTTATAAACATTGAAAATAATTTTTAATTGTTTCACGCTGTGTATAATACATTGTATTATATAATTGATACTCACACGCTTAACTAAAACAATTACAGACTATAGGTACAAATTAAAAGGTGGGTTTCTCGGCTATTCCAATTTACATACAATGAAATTGACAATTCTATTCATGCCTAGATACCTATTTAGAAAGGCTGTGTTGAGATTGCTGCCGTTTTAAAGAAATGAATTTCATAACTGACATGGTACACACAAAAAACGTTCACTTTTTCCACCTGAATATATCCACTTGCATCTGGAAAGAGAATCAGTTCTACATGAATATGCCTAAGGGTGTCCGGAGCTTAAGCTGACAAAACTCATGAGGTTTTAGGGACTGCCAATATGACTGCAAAACCGCTTCGTTACTGACATATAGAGTGATTTGTGAATTTTAACAAAAAATCAATCTGCCTATTAAATACAGGGATTACCCGATTGGGTTCAAATTTGGTAAGTACATTAAATTAAAAGGCTTCAACAAGAAGCCCTTCGAACGAAACCTACATCAGGACCGGAATATTCTTCTTTTCCTATGTTGAGTTATTGTGAGAATAACTCAGCCTGTATAATAATTATCAACAATTTGAGATCATTTTATGAATCTACGGAAAAAATACTATAGGAACTTGTTGAAAAAGTTTCTGGCCCCTCACCAGGGTCTTCGCTTGCCCGGTGCCAGATCGCTGTTAGTTTCGCGCATCAAATTTTATCCCACAATAATTATTAATAAAAAAAAAAAAAGTATTACGGAATAACTGAAATAGTGCCAGAACTGATTTAACAAGTTTCATTCGCAGATTTTTAGCCTGAGCTCTGATTTATGATAATTATTATACAGGGTGAGTTATTCTCCTAATAACTGAACGTAGGAAAAAATAATATTTCGGTCCTAAAATTAGTATCGTTGGAAGGGCTACTTGTTGAAGTTTTTCAGTTTAATTCATGTACAAAATTTCCAATCAGGTAACTCCAGTGTGTTTATATTTTGTCAAAATCTACAATTCACTCTGATGTATGTCCGTATAACGAAGCGGTTTTGAACAATGGTTTATGACATTTTGCAATCATATTGGCAGTCTCCATAACCCCATAATTTTTGTCGGTTTCATCTCTGGACATACATAATCAACGAAGTTGACGTGTTCTATAATGAGTTTTTTTTGTAGATTGTCGACGGTTCGATTTAAATTTCTCGGTATCTAGAAATGTTGGTTCTGTCACAGTTTACCGCCTCAAGAATCATTAATTGATGTAATTTGAATATGTAAATGACTTGAATCTTAGGTACATTCGAATTTTTTTCTGATAGGTTATCAAGCTTGCCATCATGACCAAATATCCCTAAATGAAACAGTTCCAATGAGTCATTACATCATTGGAATTAGCAAACATGTATGAAAAGATCACTGATCACGGCTCGGTGGTCGAGAGCGTTAAGGCGCTGAGTTCGTATGGGGACTCCCACCGAGACCTAGGTTCGAATCCTAGTTAGGCCATGGATGTTTGTGTTTGTTCTGTATGTATACCTAACCCCGCACAAGTTTCGACTTATGGGACGTTTGGTCCCAGTGCTGGGACCAACGAGGTATGCAATTGCGAAAAAAAAAATTGAAAATAATCTATAAAGAGAATCGATACCTGAAGGTATGTAGGTACGTCAAATTCAGAAATTCCAAATTTCGAGCAGATACGAAAAATTTACAAGCTATATAGCTGCTAATTAAATAACAAATAATATTACTGAATGGCGACATCTTTACCCATATAATAGATTTCAGCGTATATGCGTCTATGTGTGTTAATGGGCGTTTCTATGGAATAAATTCAACTGCTGAATCGCGGATGTTCAAGTGTGTCCATTTAACGGTAGGTTTGTGTGATAGAAAATACCTGTTGTCGGAATATATTGGCTATATCTATATTTACTGTCATGCTGTCAAGTCGCAATTTCTTTCAATTAACGATCGAAGTAATATCATTATATCATGCGATTTGTGGAAGAAACGATCTTTCAATAATTCTAGATGACTAGTTGATGTTATCGATGAAAAATAATGAATTCCTCGAGTGAGTTAATCAAAATTTCTGCGATGCATAAAAACATACGTTCACGGATTCGTGAAACGCAAAGGTTTTTTGAAACTATGAGAGACAGAAAAAAGGTCAACATTCGTTATGAGAAGATCTTGGATACGAAAGCTCTTTCTTGAATGTTCTCATGGTGATTGGAAAACCGAAAAAAATATCGCTTTCGGCTTTCGGTCCATACCCAGCCAACCATCGTGTGACATCAACATCTGTGTGGTGTAACAACCTTGCATGAATGCAATATTTCGTTAACACATCTCATCGACGTAGATTCGATATCAACGTCGCAAGGTGACATCGCAACCAGGAAACTATGTAATGTGGCAACGACTTCTTCAAACTACATCTCTTCGACGTTAACTAAATAATTCACATTGATATCCTCATGAGATATCTTTGTGACCTGTGAGTGTGACGCAGACATGCGCAAAACGAACGCACACTCCAGGCGCCATGTTGAGCTGTGCATGGCCATGTCAGTCAGTCAGCCAGTTATAGTGAGTCCGACTTCGTACAGACTATTTCCTTCCAAATTATCTGTTGAAATATCTGAGATGATTTATAGCACATATTATAGCAGCTTCAAATTGGAGGTATACAATCATTTAGGAACGACGGTGAGTTCAATCACAATAGGTAATATTGTAATTATCTCTGATGAGATAGGAATATTGCAATCTAAAACAAGGTGGATGAAAGATCCCAAGATAAAATGTAGGTGTATTTGATATGTATCATTTATGAATAATGTATATTTGTATTGCTATATATATGTGTCATGTTTTACTTCAAGATTACTAATTAGGGTGATTGTCATGATAAGTTTTGTATCATCTGTTTCTACTTTCGGAAAATAAAATTTTCTTCGTAAAGTTGAATAATTATTATTATTATATATACCTATCCCACGAATATCACAGGTACGGCGACCACATCATCGATGTCGTAGTGTGATGTATTTGTAATATGAAATGTACACTTGTATGTGACCTGGTAGTGATTTTTCATGTGATGTCGCATTTCATGTCTGAACGACGTCACAGTGATGTTGCTTGAGTCGGACATTTTCACATCGCCACGTTGTATCGGTAACATGTTTGTGACTTCAAATGCGATATCGCATGTCACAAAGAGATGTGGTGTATACATCACTTATACATCTCATGGTTGGCTGGGTAGTAGTGTCAGCATGATTTTCGTATATTTTTGGATTCCTTTTGAAGGATTGTCGTTTCAAGATATTCTTGAAGTATATATAAACATTTATATTTATTGATAAACCATACAATAAACATAGTAAGGTGTCACAGATTGTTAAAAGTATGTTATTATTGCTAATTAGGGAACGTCTATAAACTTTCGTATTAATTGATATAATTACGGATAGGTATATAATTCTGTTGACCAGCAGTTAATTACTCTGTATTAGTAGTTAATTGTAAATTGTCTTATTAGAATTACCACATTTGTCATACGTCGTAAGACAGAGTGACCATTAGTGCATGTCCATAACAGGCTGCGAAATGTCACTGTGCCTCTTTTTAGACAGAATACGCATCCAGTAATTGGCTGAGTATGTGGAATCTTTAATCTTTAATGTTACTAATTCTTAATAATCTCATAAAAACAATACAACTATCCTATCAGTGGACGGCAAAAAGTCGAATTTCCACCAAATGTTTATGTATAGCATTGTATTCCTCCAGACTTTGAAGGTAAACGAACTTTTTTTCCCTTGCATTATGATAAGTTTATGTGGGCATGGAATAACTCGGCTATTTTCCCATGGAAGTTATCAATAGTCCATCTGCATACACTGATTGTCTCACATTTTAAGAGTATATCATTTCCAATCGATTATTTTATGTTTATATCCCCTACGAAATATACCAGGGTTGAGATAAAGTATGATACCAGTCAAATATCTCATGAAAAGCCGATCAGGTTTTATTTCAAATTTTAGAGGCTATGCGTGATATATTCGATCATGACGGCCATTGCTGCCACATCATCGAGAAGTCTATAAGCTCACCACTCTGCATTCAGGAGCCCTCAATAGGGATATTCGCAAAATTGCATGATCAAATTATCAGCTGTAAACAACTTCAATACTATAAACTTGTATATAGCCATTTCCGTAGACGAAGACTTCAGACAAAATATGAAAATCGGCAACACTGTCAACAAAAAAGTGGGGATCTTTGAAGTTTCTGCCAGAATTTCGTACTCAAAG